TTTCAATACGTAAAAAAAAAACAAAAAAAAAAACTGGTTACCGGTAAATTCTCACTCCATAAATAATTATGTAACAGAATGGTATTAAAGAAATAATTGGGGGGGGGGAAGGTATTTACTCGTTTAGTCGATACGGAAACGGATGCCAATTTTTATTGTTATTGCCATAAGAAATGGTGGATCCATGGGACAATTGGGTGCAGTCAAACTGAGACAAAAAGAGCTATTCTGTGAGTATAGTAAACTGATTGGTTTTGACAGAAATGGAGTTGCTGTAATGTACAAGTTGAGGTATACAACAAGAACAACCAGGTGCGAAGTCTGCTTCCCTGTTAATGATAAGAGCTTAACGCTTTTTTTTGGGGGGGGGGGGGAGAGTAATAATTAATGTTCTGTAAAACTGTTTTCCTTTAACAAATTGTTAAAAACAGGAGATTGACTATTTGTGTAAAATAATGCGAAAGCGTAGCAACATAACACTAAAATAAAGCCATATAGTATATCTACAGTACAGTGATAGCGTTTAACATAGAACTTTTTGTGAAATTTGAAGCAGTCAGATATGTCACAGTTCAACAAATAACTCTATGGAAAAAGAAGATTTTTCTAGCCTTTTACTCATTTAAAAATGTAAATTGAACAGTCCCAGAGAAGATCATAATGGGCAAAAATATTCTAGATAACTAAATAAAATTCTAATTTTTACACGCTTTAGGTAAAGTAGATGGACTGCGAAAAATAAGTATTTATTTTTTCCCCCTTAATTATGTTTGTGGTTTAAGCGCTTTGCTACGAAATGGGCTATTTGGGCACTGTCCACCGTGGAGAATCGAGTCGCGGATTTTAGTGTTTTAAGTTCGCAAACTTACCGATGATCCGCTTCTTAATATAGATTATTAAAACAATTCACAAGGACAAAAATTACATATTCAGCTAATTCGAAATAATATTTTCTCTCTCGGTATTAACTAGTATCAGTTAAGATATGCGAATTTAATTTATATAATAAACAAATGAAGCGATAATTTAATAAAGTATAATGCAACATATGCTGCAATATAAAATAAAACCTAAGATAATAATAATTTAGTGTAATATAATAATAACTAATATAATAGATATTAACGAAACAGTTTCTCAAATGTGTCACATCCATGACACACGAAAGAATTCTTAGATTGCCCGTAACTCAAACGTTGATTTGCTTTCCTCACAAGAAATAGGTTATTATAAAACCATTAAGCTCTTTTATGCAGATACTGAATACAGGTTTCAGAAATATTTCAAAGAGATTTTGGCATTAGTTTCTAAGAAGTAATGTTAGACTGAAGCGATTCATCATTTGATTAATTAAACACGTTTCGTGTATACCTATTTGTAATTTGAAAGCATATTAAAGGATCTCTAACGCAAGATCGAAACCAAAATCTCATCACCACCATCCAGATATATGATATGATTAAGCCTAAAATTAATTAATTACACACTGAATGCCATCGAAAAAAAAAGAAAGAAAAACATGCAATTCGACGCTTAGCTGTGTATGAAACATAGAACTTCAGGAAATAATATTGTTGGCTTACAGTCTTAGATGGAGTTAGGGTTGGTATTATCTCTTCTGAGCTTGGAGTTTACCTCACACTGTAAGAACACTGTGATCTAACTTGGAGAACAGTGAAGTCAAGTCAAGACCTTTTATGCTTTAGCCTAAAAACTGATTCTTCATCTTTCATCTATACTAAAATGGTTAAAGATGAATCATATGCGAAATACCAGTATTGTTTGCTTCAAATCGCTGTTGTTCTGGCGATTATTTTCAACGTGTAAAGTTCTATATGCCAAAATCTTCAAATTTCGATTCTGGTTACCAGTGGAAAATAAAATCTTCTTAGCTCGGGTTTGGCTGAATAAAAAAAACCCAAAACTCGATGAAGCACATTTAAAATTGGTACATTTAATTCAGGTGAATGACGGGTTTTACAGCTTTTTTCTCACTACTAAAAGGCCTATTAAACTACAGAATTTGGTTGGAAACGCACTCAAATCTTACAGTATTGCTTTACCGAAATCAATTAGATAACAGCTCAAGACCGTACTGATGATTATCATGAGTCTGAATCCCTGGGGTAGTAGGCTACCTAGTGGTGATGCAATACACTAAAAACATTGTTTTTTATTCTTGTCAATTAGTGTAATAGTTACTCAGCTAATCAGACTAATTTTTAGTAAGTTTAATACTGGTGATTCAGTTTTAATTCCCAACGTAATCTAGCTGTAAGAAACTCCACCTTTACAAAATTACATAAATGTTATTATTATCACTATAGAATTTCAGTTAATTATATTCTGTGTTTATTGTGCAGCCGTGAAAACCTTATTAACAACTTATGCTTGTTCCAACGATATCCAAGAACATTATAATAAATGTCGTTCAGGATTTTGATTACTTTCAATAAATGGTTTCATCTATTTAGTATAGAAATATTATCATTAGTAGTCGGGTTCGACCCTTCAGTAGTTCTAATCATAAAACATGGACATTTAATGTATACAGAGGGTTGATCATGTTATATTAAAACACTTTAATATGCAAATCTGTAAGTCACGTGACAATCACAGCTAATATAAAGTCGCGGTAGAATAGCACAACTAAACTTTTAAATTGTTTGATGCCTGGTAGGTAGAGAAATACCACCAAAAATTGATTGCTTTTAGGAAGGGTATGTAAGAGCCTTTTCGACGCAAAATATTCATACACTCAGATCATGAAGATGTGTTTGTATCGAGGATTTAGAGTTTCCAAGAAATGTGGATTAATTTCGAGCGCCAGGACCATCCCAAAAGAGACCGTTAACAAGTCGTATCCCAGCCGTGGTAAGTAAAGTGTGGCATCTTGTAGCAGATGAGAATGCACGAAAAAAAAAGGTCGTCCATGTATCTCAGGCAACAGTACGCAACATGATCAAGAAGGATCTCCATCTGGAAAAGCGCCACAAGTAATAAGCATACAAGTTGCTTCTATAATAAATCAGTTCAATCGTCGCTTACTTCAAGCATCTGAAGAATGAAGTGGACATTCATGCTATTCCATACAAAGACGTTTTGGTCAAGTCGCTGAAAACAGCGCCTATGGATTTTGTGTGCGATTGGACTGCTGAAAAGGGCTCTGGGAAACCACCATCCTTGTATACTTGATGGATTATGGAAAATCGGCAGAGAGGAGCTGTGCGCTTTGAACATGATAGCCTTACGACGAAGACTTTCACAATGGAACCTACACTGCAGGGCTATTGTACAGTAATCAAATAATGCATGAACGGACGTGGCTACATGGACTACAATGATGTAGTGAAGCTCTAAAATCGTTTTAATATAATTTACTTAACCTCTTTATATATATATATACCTTATTAAAAGATAAGTTTGATAACCGCGAGGGATACTTCGGTTTCCAATGGATTACGAATAAGTAATTTTGTTGTTGTTTGCAATACATTTTCAAACCTGGTTTTAGATTCGATCGTTTGAAAACAGAGTAGCCATATTTATGAAACCATATGGGAACTGGAAAGGCTCAGTTTATCTATAAATAAGGTATTGCCCAGAGGCATTACAGAAACTCCTAACTTGAATAAAGCAATGTATTGTTTACCTAGCTCGATAAAGATCTTGGAAATAGTTTTTTTCCATATAACTTGTAATGTTCGAAGCCTCTTTTGTTATCGTGACTCTCTGAAAACAAAATTTTACATAAAGATATATATGTTTTTATTCTCTTTCATTAGCTTGTAAGTTCTATCGGTATTGTTTCCTATTTCCAAAAAAAATAGATAAAAGGGAAGATTTAAAATTAAAGTTAAAAGCATCCCAGAATCATCTCGACGAATAGTAAAAGAATAATATTTGTTTTATCTTGATACCCTAAGAAAATAATTTGTAACTACAGATTTAATCCTTTAAGGTTTGTTCAGTTATTGAGGTAGACCTTTGTGTAAAGTTAATGGAATTTCATGCTACTTATATATTCATATGGTTGTGTGTGCGTGTGTTACGAATTAATTGACACGTTTGTTAATTTATCTTGTAAGCTTAAAGCAAGTAATCATTTTCATATGGAATGTTGATGAATTATTACTTGGAATTAAATAGAAAACTGTTCCTACTGTGATTCACTCACTGGCTCAGCTCAGAAAATTGGATAATGTTTCCATAGAACAACAGGAAAATATGTATGTTGGTATTAAAAGATACAAAATTGAAATATGATATACAAGTAGGCATGTATAGTGGTTTGATACAGATGCTTACATATAACATTTATAACATTTTTTTGCTAAGCTGACTGATTTGAAGATACATTTAAACAATGTTATGTCACAGAGTTTTGAGTTTGACGCAGTTTTATGTGATGTACTCAGATACTAATGTCTTTTTTAAATGTTGCTAAGTAGATGCTTTGTTATTTAACAGTGCTGATAAAATCTATTAATAGAATTTAGTAATGCGATGTTCACAAATGACAACTGACCAAATTGTGTCCACTTTATGCACCACAAAAAATTGGAACACAATGAAGGTCTACATTAATAAGGTTTTAACGTTTTTATCTAATTTGAGCTTCGATTTGTATTTCCTAAGCATATAAAAATATACACAATACAGCAGGCATCATCAGATCCTAAGCTATGAATATGAGATATTGTATGCCATGTAAATAATGTTACGTTTTACTAACTAAATAAAGTGGAGAATTGAGACATTAGTGTAACTTTTAAGTTTTTGAAACATCTACTTTGTGGTAATTCTTTGCTCTGGATTTGGAAACGCTAACCGTTGTTTTTGCAAACTAATTTGTATTGAATTCCCATATATATATATATATATATATAGTGTTAAGTGTTAACTTTTAGTGTTTAAAAATGCCTCAATGTATTCTGTTAGATTCTTATTTAAGTGTTACTTAAATCACAATTTAGAGTAAGATTAACATATTTACTTACCTGAAATATTAGCTTCTTGTCTCGATGAATTTATAAGCAGCATTCTAAAGGGCAAGCAAACTTTTTCTTCCTGAAGTTGACGTTTTCACTTTGTAACATTGTTAACGTATTGACCAATAGTTTTTGTCAGGCGATGAACACTCTCGCACTTCACCTGCAACAAGACTGATCGGTTTCAGTTTAGGTAAGTCGTTATTGCCTAAAGCTGCGAGACTGTAGCGCCCTCTTTTAATTATATTCTATTTATAATACTATGCTTCTGAAACGACAGCATCATCATTCTTAAATACTTTGCTTTATAGTATCACAGAGGCTTTCATATCATTTTTTTTTTCTTAAGAAGTATTTGATCAGTACTAGGAGAAGAACTTTCTATGGTCATAAGGCTATCAACACATTGCTATATATATATATATGTACTTTAAGATTGGTGTAGTGGGTGCCATCTGGTGGATTTTTGTCACAATCTTATTTAGTGTATAAATAAAGAGCAAGGTAATAATGAAGAAAAACAAATATGTGTGTTTTTTTTTGTCGTACTAAACTACAGTTATTGCTACAGTAATCTAAAACATAAATACAAAAGTTTACATGAACTATCGAATAACCAGACGATCAGATATAACAAAAAATATTTGAGGAATTGATTTTATATCAGAATTTAACTAAATTTACTCAATAAAAAGTTATTATAGTATAATATAATAAATTTTCGCTTCAAAGTTCAGAAAGGAAGATCCGCATGAAGTTCGATACCTAAAACTACTACAATGTATTTTGATTTCGTATTAATCGGGCAACGGTAACTTTACGGATTTCCAAAACTAAAATCCAAGGTTCGATTCCTTGCAGTAGACAGATTTCAGATAGGCCATTGCGTATTTCTGTGCTACAAAGAATAAAAAATATATTTCTTTTATGTATATTAACAAAGATTTTACATAGATGTGTGTGCGTAACAGCAAACAGTAGTAAAACATGCTACACGAGTTCTTTTCACGCTAGGAAATTATTTTTTGTAAATTCGTAATTAATTATTATTTTAATTAGCAAGAAAGTTTCAAGGTAAAATTTATTTTAAAAGAATAATCACGAAAAATCACAATTTAAAGGCTGACATGGTAACGAAAATCTTCGATCAGGTGTTAATGAAGAAAACATTAAAGTTTTGTAAAACGTGAAGATACCAATGGTATGAAGTTCGGAAAATCGAAATTAGATACTTAATCACATATAATCAGTTCTAAGCTCCTTAACGTGATATCCCGAGTGAGAATACAAAGGTTAATAATGAGATTTCTAAAAAAATATTAAAAAAAAAGAACTCTCGCAACACTCAATTCATGTAGCTCAGATTCGTTTTTGTTTAATTGAACTCCCAGTAGAATGACATAGTTGAGAAATTAGAAAACGGAATTATCAGTAAATTTTATGGGGCTTTGATCCTAAGATTAAGCGGAGTTTAAAGGGAAAAACTGGTGATGTTAAAAAAATTTAACATATTAAATAAATGTGAAATTCAGGCGTCACTAGCAGACATAATAGTAACTCATTTACTGGGTCACCGTATAAGTGATAAGATGAAGCATATTTAGATCTTTAAGGACGAAAAATTTCAGTCAACATTTAATGGAAGATGTGTGTGTGTAGGAACCTAAAAAAGGCAAGTAATGAAGGCCATAGAAAAAAAATATCTCAAGAAAAGAAAAGTTAATTTCTAGAAAGTCCCTAAATTTATGGTTGAGTGGAAAGCGAAGAGTAAATAGATTGGTTTAAACCTTTTACGAAAGGCTTGTAAATAGTTGCGAGATGTTAAAAAATGTACTTTGATGTCAGTTAGTCTAACGACTACACATTACAGAAGAAAGAGGTGAGTTAATGGAGGAGATACTTAAGGATAGTAGTAAATGATGTTGGTATTCTACATCTTTATATCCTTTTCGTATTTGGATGGATCTCGAAGGAAACATATATTAACTAGTTTGAACAAGAAGGATGTTTCTTTAAAAATTCTTATGGAAATATTTGATTTGAATATTTTATATTATTGTGAAAACTATTGTCGGCTTAAAAGTAAATCTTTAATGTTTAATAAGTTGTTACTGTAAATGAGAAAATTCAACAACGTATAAGCAGTTTAAGAGATGAAACTATTAAATTATATTTATAAGAGAAGCACCACTTAATCAATGAGAATAGTATTTATTAAAAAAAGTTGAAAGTCTTCACACACGTTAGCATAAGTAGTAAGAGTGATTAACAACGAAATATAAATTAGTAATAAAAACAGAAATCAATAAATGATTGTGACCAGATGTGCTGTATAAAATGTTGGAATTAAAATTCTTTATATTTACGTAACTAGAGATAAAAAAAAATAATTGTGTGATTTATATAAAAGAGATTAAACGTTTAATTGATAAATACAGGATTTCTAATTTGTACTGATTTTAATTTTTAGTAAAATATCAAAGTTGACACTTGGTGAAGAAAATCAAAACATCGATAGAAGTTACATTCATTAGTAAAATATCAAAGTTGACACTTGGTGAAGAAAATCAAAACATCGATAGAAGTTATATTCAGAAAATTCAAATTTTGAAAATACGTATTCGGGATCTTATTTTGATGAGAGAGATATGAAATCCTCCCCCCCCCCCCCCACGTGGCACAGCGGTATGTCTGCGAACTTACAACGCTACAATCCGGGTTTCGATACCCGTGGTGGGCAGAGCACAGATAGCCCATTGTGTAGCTTTGTGCTTAATTACAAAACAAACAAACAAACAATGGGATCACCTGAATATGTTTAGTAACGAGTCTTACAGACGAACGGCTTATCAACAAATGTTTTCAATCGTTTGCATTTGTATGTTTTGTATAATAATCCTGTGGATATTCAAAATATTTATATTTTACTGTTATAAAATTAATGAAACAACAACAACAACAAAAGACGGAAAACATAAACTGTTGTTCCCGTGCTAGTATACAAAGAGATGAGAAGAACAAGTCATACACCTTAGATAACGGAAACATAAAACAAAACTGCCTCACTTTAACTAAAGTTGACTCGTCTACAGTGTGGATTTTATTGATCTATGCAAATAGAGAATGATAAAATATGTACTAAGAAGAAGCAAAGTGTTCTTGATTACATAATTAGTGTAGTTTCTAAATCCTAGTACGCTGGTTTTTTTTGTTTGCTTTTTATTATTACTGCTGGGTCAATGAAAGGCAAATCCGAGTACGCTGGTTTTTGTTTGTTTTTATTATTACTGCTGAGTCAACGGGTAAGAACTTCCTCATAACGACAATAAACAAGTTAACCCTAAATCTATATTCTTATGTAAAACTTTAAGGAGAAAAAATAATGAAGAATTCAGAGGAAATTAGTAAGCAGTTTCTGTTTAATCGATGTTAAAATTAAGTTTCTATATACAGGGTGGGCTATATGAACCTCCTCAATAAATGAAAATAAAGTTACTAGTAACACGATATTCCATTTTTCGTGATTAATGTGTATTTGCATGATTACTGAACGGGTCTGTGACATAAAGTCTTTGTACAATGTCGCATGAAATAAACAACATATTTAATATCGACATGGCTCATCCTTTTTATCTGTTTATCATGCGAATCTTTTTTTTTTTCGTTTAGCAACATTGATATTTGACTATAATAACATAAACAGCACGACTCAACCTAGGATTTTAAAAAATCATCAGTAAACGCTAAATGCAGGTTTAAATAAATCAATTCATTTCTGTCTAATCTGATTTCTTAGGATATTTTTGACCACCAGCACTTACCCCTTAGTGGTGCAGCTTTGAAAAAAAATATTTGCAAGTATTAATCTCATGATTAAATTTTGCAAAAAAAAAAGATGAAATTAAAGAAAGTTTAATAAGATTTTATGATTCTCTTTCTCCTTTGAAGAAGGGAAAATGGAACTTGATTAGATTAGTTCCTGCTCTAACAAAGAAATCGTGAAATGAGTTGTTGGTCGTTTGGCTCAATATTTACAGATTTTTATTGGATTATAATGAGATTAGTGTTATATGAAGCGAATTTATTAGACCAGTTATGTAAAGTCGTTCAGTATATCGTCTTAAAACAAAACCCGTTATCGTGAATTAAATAATCTATTAAAATACAGTAATGGAGATTTGAAAATAATTACATAAGGATTGAAAAAAATACATTTTAAGGAAACCCTCTGTCCTCCAAAATGATGTTCATTGGCAATAATGAAACTATTATAAAACACTTAACTAGTTCCAATGTAAAAAAAAAGGGTGAATGGAGTCTTCCAATCTGTCAAAAACACTTACAAGTTTGCTTGTTATTAAGCACAAAGCTACACTATGGGCTACCTGTGCTCTGTCCACCATGGGTAAAAAGTGTTTCAGAATACTTCCTTTTCCCTTTCTTCGTCCCGTATAAAGTGTCATGACGTCAAAGTCTTCTGAATTTTGGATATTTGTAAATAATTATACACATAGTAATATTCAGAATTATTTCTTATTATGATAAATAATTGCTTTAAAAGTGTCCCCCCCCCCCTCAGTGGTACAGCGGCATGCCTGCGGACTTGCAACGCTAGAAACCGGGTTTCGAACTTCTCATATTTCGGTTAATATCAAAAACATAAATACAAAAATTATTACCACTAGATGGCAGAACGACTACGTTTGTTATTCCTTGTATTTCTTGCTACTTCTTGTTTCAGAATGTTTACGCAAGGTTATACGTAGTTGTCCACTAGAGTTAAAGATAGACTAAAGGGAGGGAAGCTAGTCAACAGCTCTCACCAACAACTCTTGTTTAACCGAATAGTAGGATTTGGTCCACGAACCCTCAGGTTCAAAATCCGAGCACACTAACCACGAACTTACCCTCCTGTGACCTCAACTGATTCCTACTTGAATATCTAATAGCGTCTATTTAAATATACACGACTTTAGAGCTGTGTTAATTAATGGCATCGATACATTCTACAGTTATATTCAACTCCAACAATTGAATGCTATATATGTCTCATTATTATCCATAAAGCGTCAGCTACCATGCTTGAGACTCTTTCAGTTTACTCGCCAAGATTATCAATGATTCTTAACTGAATGTTCCATTAAGTTTTC